AAAAAGAAAAGGCAGTTTTGTCAATAGAAACAACGTTCATGCTATTTTCAAGTTCTGGGCTTTCTAAAAACTCAGGGTGGGGGGTGGGGGAGTGGACCTGATGCACATAACAAGCAGAGCACCATAGAAGTGTGTTATGATTAAGAATTACTTTGATGTTAAACATTGATCACAGTTTGTACTTCCCATTTTCTTCCTCCATTTCAGTCAAAAGAGCAGCATTGCAACCTATGTCAAGCCCCTTTTCTATTTTTTTTTACTTCATAAAACACAAGGGGATAGTAGAAAGAGAATGGATGGGGGGAGAAGATGTTGAATTTTGAGGGAGATGAGCGAAAAGTAGAACCAGATGAAGTTAGTCAACTTCGTAAATCGGTCCTTCTTTCTTCTTTCTAGGCAGGCATGGAAGTAGAAGCTCTTTTTATTAAGAACTGAAAGGATTATTGACATTTCTAGATCTGGAAATTGTCAATATATTGTAACATTACTCTGCACTGCAATGCGGATGCCAACCAACAAATCACAGGCATCCTAGGCTAAACAAAGAAGGTCTGATGCCAATCCTGGTGCCACTGGCAACCATCACTGGCACTCAAACTATCCTTCCTCCTCTTTTTCTCCCTAATCTTCTTTTTTAAAGAAAAAAAAAAAAAAAACAACACACAAGCAAAAAAAAACCTACTTGGCCCCTTTATTCATTTTATGTGCTAATTCCTTCTTCATATTTCATTCAGGGATTTAATTATTTCTATGTCTCCGCTTAGTTTTTACATGATATCATTAGGCGGGTTTATATATTCTAAAAGAGAAATAAAAAGCTAAACAGCATGTGTATAATGCAGCATTTTGGTCGACTTCATGCTTATCTTTTGCAAAGCCTTGTGCTCTTAATCAAGTGCACCACAAAGTGCCACAATTAACTTGCTTTCAATGAGGATAGAGAATCAATGTTTGACAAAATATGGGGGGAAAATACAAAGATAACTTAATATGACTTCTTCAAGAAAATAGCCAACAGATGTTAATGGAAGATTTACTGTGAACAGCAAGACACATACAAAATATATGCAGTTTACAATAAACAAAAGACTCTACTAAGGGTGCCTTGATACACAGAAATTAGCCAGCTTCATCTTCCAGTATATTGCCAAAGTAGCAGCATATGACTTTGAAAGTTATAATATTACAGCATGTTTATCTTATTCATTTCTGATTAGACAAGTGTTTAAAATAAACTCATATTCTCAATCTATTTAAATGAATAATATCAGCTATGCCCTGCAATTCCTCCTCCCACTTCAAGTTACTGGCTTCCAGCAACTTAAAAGTCGACAGGGTGTAAGGGTACTCTGACCCCAGCTTCTTTGGCTCAAGAGCTACTTAAACAGCTTTGCCTCCCTTTGTAGTTTTGACTTTTAGAGGCAGGTAAATCCATTAGAATTAATCAGTAAGCTACGTCTTGCAATAAATGCATTCAAAATATCATTTGAATTTTTCTTCACGAAAGGAGTTTAAAGGTACAAATTGTTTGCAATTAAGCTATTTTGCTTAAAGGTATCAAAAAAATCTTTCTTTCTATGTTATTGGGGATTAGATTTACCAGACTCTGCAGCTACTTATAGTCGCTGCAAAACATCTACAGTGTTGTTTACTGTCGTGGAGAGAAAAAATACAAAAAAAGCAAGCAGGGAAATAAAAAAAATAAAATAAAATGCCACGGACTGTATTTTTTCATGATGAATAATCAAAAAAATTGAACCCTATTTATACGTTCACATAAAGATAGTGCTCCATTTGCATGAGTAAATGCTAAAAGACCAATTCACTGAAAACAAAAAGGTTGTTTTGTGTTATCTGTTCTTTTAAAGGATGAGTACACACTGAATGAAAATGTGCAATTTTAAATTTTTGTTACTAAGAAAATCCATTCCGTTCGTTTTTCAGTTAAATTCTGCAGTTATATATCACACATCATATGACAGCCTGCCACCTGACTTTCTGCAGGCCATTTCTGCCTCTTTCCAGGCCAAGTTGTGAAATGGCCCACAATATGCAGCCAGACAAACTTTCCCTAGATGAGATCTGCGGGTAAAAAAACTGCTCTATTACTGCTGATCAGTCACCAATAGAAAGATGTCTAGAGAGTGGTATAATTACCAGAAAGAACCAAAATAACCCCTCCCAGAGAAAAGGCATTTCAGAAGGCTTAGTATGAGAGAAAAAAACTTTATCTATTACAGCCATCTACAGTTTCAGGGAACCTGACGAAGAGTTATTGTTATTCGAATATGTGACTACCAGTTTCTTCCCTGATACATGATTATTAGAAGCTCTGGTTTTATTTTCATTCCATAAAACTAAGTTTAAAAAGCTTTTCCACAGTGTTTCTGCAAGTTTTCACGTTTCAATTACCTGCCAAATAAAATTAAGTATTTAAGTCTGATTATGAAAAAATACTTTTCATGGAAAATTCTCTTAAAATATTACAACCTGGATCTTTGCTTTAAAGCTTGGATAGGTAAAATAAGCAAGTGTTGTAAAGTATGAATAAAATGTTAAGTATTGTATACTGTAATTCTGACTGCAAATGGTATCTAGAAAGCAGCATTTCTGTGCTAAAGATTTTTCATGTTTTATTTTATAGACACGAGAAAGTCTACAGTCTACAAGTCCCCTTCAAAGTGATAGTAGGCTCATCAGTCTAAGGATGAATTCTTGATTATTTGTAACTACAAAAACAACAATAAATATTTGCAGTATTTATTGTGATTGAGCAATTGCACATACCTGCATTTGCTACTAACAGTATTGGGGGAACAGAAAAAAAACAAAACAACACCTTGGAAAACAAGAACGTTTTCTGAAGTCACCACTGAAAAAACTACACAATATATTGCCACTTTCAGACAAAAAGAAAAGGCAACTTCAGTGAAACTAAAGTACTGCTCTGGTATGTCCCACTCTCTCTTGAAAGAAAACAAGGCGCGCAAGTGAAACATACATGTTAGTTACACAGATGTGTAGGAATGTGTGTGTATGTAAGTATATACATATACATGCTGATTTACATATGGATATGTACCCACATTATGTCTATAGACCACAGAATAATGTTTCATTGGAAGCCAGCCCATAGGGGAAACAGAGCTACTTGGAATCAGAGTTTGACATACTAACATAGAAACAACAATCTGCTTCCTACCTTGCTCCTGCACGTAGTATGCCAAAAACAAATCAAGCTCCTTGACTGATACTGTTATGTGATGTGGCTGGACGCAAAGTGCTGGATTTGTGCAGTGTGGTGATTTCATGAGCCGCTCTCCATCCGTACTTTCCAAAGGGATGCCTTTGAACAGGATCACCATGACTAGATCCAGACGCCAGACTTTGTCAGCCTGTCGCAGGCAGTCGATTCTCCTAATCTTACCCTTCTGGTCAGGATTGGACAATACACAGCATGGGTGCTTCTTCCCAGTCACCGTGAGCACAAAATCCTCCCGGAACTCTTGACGAATATCTTTGCGTAGCTTGGCCAGGAGCCTGGATGCCCACTTCTGTTTAATTTCAGGCTTTTCGCTAAGTAGCTCATCCTTGACTGCTCTTTCCTCATCCTTTGACATTCGTTTCTCATGTTTCTTAAAGTACTTGCGTTTTCGAGCCTGAAGGTTGAACCAAGTGTAGGCAATTGCACGGACATGTGGAAGAAGTGCCTCAATGAACGGGTGAAATTCATCCTGTGGAAAGAAGTGGAGGGGGGGGGGGGGGGAGAAAAGAAAAGAAGAAAACTCAAAGTCAGTAAATTCTCATAATCAAAGCAGTATCAATCAAAGTTCATGAAAATCTTGAAGTGAAAGCCAAGACAAAGAGAATAAACACTTAAAATTTACACAAATTTCTGCATAGCACCTTTTATGCAATTACTACCGCTGTCAGGCGGCAGAGAAAAAGTACACAGAAAATTACATTTTCCCCATATTTCACTCTTCAAAAGAACCATGTGAACATTTTATTTTGTATGGCTCCCCTCATTTCATCCCACAAGGCTGCAGAGACATCATTTAAAAGATACGCTATCAAGATGTTTTGTTCCTAACATTTAAATATCTGAGTGAATGGCTAACATCAAGAAAAGTACCATTGCACAAAGAGGACACTATACGGTTTTAAAAAATCTGAGCAGAAATGTTCAGAAGGCTGAGGCGAATGCCACAGTTCATTTCTCTTCTCTGTGGCACAGAAACACAAAGCATATACATGCTCAGTGTAATGCCACACAGTTCCCGCTTTTGGAGCATGCTCTCAGCAAGAGACTGCTGGTGGCACAAAGAGCATGCGCCATTAAACTTGATCCATTTTCTTATCAAACGTCCAGCATTCCAGCACTGAAACAGCACCATTCCAGTGGTGGTAACTAGAGAAACCAGTATACAGTAAGGGAAAGTGGGCAAAAGACAGTGTGTCATATACAAATCCTGAACAGAAGCTTCAATACTTTCAGCTCTTCGGGCTTCCCTCCCACCACCCCCAAACTGCGTAAAATAAAAGTTTATGAAGTTGAAAACAAAAATCACATTTATGTTCCTCCGGCAGCTGCACTGTAGGTTTTGAGGCTCCACAGAGTCAGTTAATTTGTTAACTGATCACATGAGTGTGGCAATTATTCTAAACCCCTTAAAAATCAATCTAAGGTGTACAATGAAAAATGGCAACTTGGCACAAACTTTGCATTCTTTGTGTTTCTGCATGCTGTGGCAGAGTGACATTACAAGTGCACCGCTGGTCAAATGCTGCTTTTGTGAAATCCATGTAATTTATTTCCAGTTCCAAAATATCCCTTTCTGTCATCTGGCTTCACTTGCAAGTTCTTATCTTCTGCCTAGCAGCGATACAGATTGCATTAAGGAGGTAATGCTTAGTTGTTGTCTACAAGTACATCCTATAGCAATTAAATTAATTCGTTTTGTCTGCTTAAAGTCCCATCCTACACATTCATGCTAATATCTAAATAGGCCTTTCCCAAAAACTTCTTTATTGTGAGAAAATCCCCTGCTTAGAACAGCGTGATCTGCTTATCAAACATTACTGTATTTTGGCTTGAAAGAAAGACCTTAGAGGAGGTATCTTTCTTCCTGTGTGCAAGCATATTTAGTTTTAAATACCATGCAGATTACTCATCATACTGAGCGGCACAGTGCAATCAAACTAAAACTGAACCTTTTTATACAGTTATATTCAAGAATACAATTATCAAACCAATATTTTAGCTACGCTGCTAGACAAGGAATGAATTATGTTTAATCAATAGGCTGATTAACTCCATTAGGTATAAATGATGAAAGTATAACTAATGGTCGCAATTATACAGGGTTCAGACTGCCGTTCTAGAAGCTTCAGGCCAAGAATTTAGTATTTAAATCTTCAAATTTCAAACAAACTTTAAAATTTCCTGAATGATAAAAAAAAATTAGATCTAGTTACCTCTTATCCTTAACTATCCTCAAATCAAACAGAAAACAACTGGGAAGTTGCAAGCAGATTACCTAAAGACCATGTTACCTTCACATGGAAAAATAAATAAATAAATAAAATAAAAATAAAAGGAAAAAGAAAAGAGAAAGAGAAAAGAGGAGAGAGACAATATGGGAAGATAATTCAGGACATAAAAGATTGCATTACAGTATGATGCTTGACAAAGAGCCACAAAGGCAATAATTAAACTGATTAGTAGTTTCCAGCAGAGATTTGAACAATTCTGATACTATACTGGCACATAAAACTAGGCCATGGAAAGAGTTAAACCACAATCTGTTCTTTGTGTGGGAAGGCAATACTGCTCTGAGTAACCACAGCCCATGATAAGACTTCCCTATCTTCATACGCTTTCTGATGCCATGCTTTTTTTCCCCTCAATTATAACTACTAAAGAAAGTTTATTTTTTCTTCAACAGAAGTCATCTTAATAGAAGTATTCAAATAATGGGTTTTTTTTAATTAACATAAGCGTAAAGACTGCATGGTGTTAAATCCTTACAATTCATTTTAGACTGAATAAATCTGATTTACTACAGATCTTGAAAAGTCTAACAGCTGGGGCTAAAGGTGGAGTGAAGCAGGGGGCTGAAGAGCTTTGGGAGAAATTAATTTTTGCCCCAATACAATGACTTCCCCTACATCTAAACAGACTTCAGCATTCATAACTGAAAATGGAAATTAAATTAATGTGGAAATATTCTGTGCTACTAAAATATTTCACATGTAGTTTTAATTTCTAAGAAGAACAACATAAACTATTTTGGAATGGCTATGTCTTCAGATAATGCACTTAGTATTTACAATCATAACCTATAGCATTTTATCCATGAAAATTTTATGGAGTAAAAATGCACTTTTAAAATTCCAGTCTATAGTGGTTGAATGTTTCCTTTCCAGAGAATGGAGAAAACAAAAAACTAAACATGCAAACATATAAACAAACAAACAAAAAAACCTGGGAAGGGGGAGCGTGACTTTTAATTCAGGCTTTCCTTTCACAATATCAGTAAGTCCTAAAGATAAAAATATATGTGGAAGAGTGTGAAGCAGAAACACAGCAAAGAACCTCCTGTTCTAAAGCAATATTATCAGAGATCTTTGAGAGATTCATTGTGCATCTGGAATCCTTTCAAATGAAACATTACTTGACAAGAAGAAGTGCCCATAAAAATGATCCTAAATGGAGATTTGCAATTAATCACACATGTTCTCCACTAAATCTCCTAAAAAGCCATCTACAGAATTTGATTTTTTTTACCCTAAATATTCATACAGGCAATATTGAATTTTATTTTTTTCATGGGGCACTTACTCATGTGCCACAGTTGCTCTTGCAATGAAGTGATTTATGGAGGTAAGATTTTCAACTGTCATATCAAATAGTTCAGGTGAACCATTGTGCACTGGCAATTTGAATTAAGATGGAAGTTACTGTGTAACATCTGTATAGCTTGTAAATAAAGGAAAAAATAACAGTCAGCTAATGATGATAGATGGGATAGGTTTTCTTTTGGTGAAAGGTAAAGGGGAAATCAGTGCCCTTCTCCCACTTTTCACTTTTATAAAGTTTGTATCAGTTCATGCAAGCTTGAACTGAGGAGCACACCATAAATATCCCTGGTCCAAGAAATCTAGGAATTTTATAGGGAAAGCTTCATGTACTCAATTTCCCTTCTCTGGAGTTAACATATTCTAGGAGGGGGAAGGAAGGGAAAAAAAAAAAAAAAAAAAAGAAAAGAAAGAAAGAAAAAGAAAAACATATTCTGAGTTTCCTGGACCACCATAACATAAAAATAAACCAAGGCAAAAATATCACAAGAGACCAAACACTTAAAGGCTTGCAGTAACTGCATCCTATCACGCCTCAGCAAGAGAGATAAATGCAGTTTCCACTCATTCCAAAATAGGGGGAAAGAGGCATGTGGGAAGAAGATGAAAGGACCCCAACAAAATTCAAATTGCATTTGGTAAGTAGTCTTCTTCCTTGGAGTTATTTTACACCCACCAAACTTTTACTGAGTGAGAGGCAATATTCAAAATGCCAAGGTCTGTCTTAAAGCTGTACTCTGGGTTTTAGACTTGTTTCTAAAAGCTGCTTCAGCACTGTTGCAGCACAAACTGAACTACTGCTTTCGCCAGGAGCTCAGTCCAAACAGGTGTTCTGTGTTTAGAACTTTTACCAAAATATTTTCCTCTGAGTGTACACTGCCACAGCCAACGTGCATCGCAAGAGCCCTAGAGATGGAGAACACAATAGAGAGAACAATTTTGGCACTACTACTTTAACTCAGTCACAACTCACTCTTTTGCTTTAAATAAATAAATAACACAAAGTATGAATTCTCATTGCCAGTGAATCCTTCATTTTTAATTTATGAAGAGGAAAGGTGATTTTTAAAATGCCTTTAGCATTCCAAACAGGTAGAGAAAGATTCCAAACTAAAAGCAGTTTGCTGCAACCTTGTTCCATGTATGTAACACTAAATGGGAAATGTCTCTGCATGGCACATGACACAGCGTGATTGTAAAATATTATGGGGAACTTATCAACACATGAAAGCCAGGAACTGCTTTCCTATATATACGGCCATAGAAGTACGATGTTTTCATACACACCTGAGTGCAGTATTTTAATACAGATTTGTAAAGAACGAGGAAATCTATTACATCTGTGAGTCCAATAAGCAAACATACGGGAGGGGAGGGTGAAAATGTCATTAGAACAGGAAACAACAACGTGAACTACCCGCTGTAATAGAAGTGGTAGCAAAAACTTCTGTGTTTCCAGTGTGAAATACACTTTCTTAAGTTGTACTCTCAGGTTTATACTCTCGTGCATAGGTCTTATTGCTTGTCAATAATTTCACAGGATGGACAGCCCACACAGAATTAATTTTTACAAATTGCAGATTCCACCATAAGTAATTATTTGTATGTGTGTACCTGCAAGCATGTGCGTATCTGTTACACAAAATGCTTCCTACATGCCCTCGTTTTTCTGTTGAAGAAATATCTCAACAGTACTCTTTTTCAGCTTTGCTTCGCTGCAGCTCACGTTTACTTGCTGAAAATATCCATATCTAAGTCAATCATACTTAGATGCCAAACAAAATATAAACAATAAAAAATGTGTCAGCCAAAAAGCTACAGGACTGTATCCAATCACTGCATAAGCCTTATCGTTGTTTCCATCTTCATT